CCTGCAGAGTGTGTCTCATTCCTTCACAAGCGCCAAGTCCAACCATCCTCCTGAGGACTGAACTCCAGGCTGAACCCTGGCACTCAGATGCTAGGTATTTAGGCTGTTTCCAACATTTAGCTATTACGAACTGTGCCACAGTATAAACATGGGTGCACATGTATCACTGTGGTATGATGCTTTGAATTCTTTCAGAAACTTTCCCAGAAAGGGAACAGACAGGTCAAACGGAACCTCTAACCCTAGTTTATGTCTGTGAGGACGCTTCCAGGGATCCCAGGCACGGCAAATGCTCCATGAGGTCCCCCCCCACCCCGGCTGAGGGACTCCAACCCTCCTGTGTGACTGTGGAGGATGCCTGGGGCCTGGGAAGCCCAGAGACCCCACTGCTGACCATTGCGCCCGCTTCCTCTCTGCCTGCTTCCACAGGGCAGCACTCGTGGGAGTCAGTCTACGTCACTGGAGGAGGGGAAACATCAGGGAGAAATAAACTGGAGGCTGCATGGGACATAGCTAATGAAGGAAAACCAACCGAGGTTTCTAAATTGCAGCGAAGCTTTGAACACAGTGAACACGAGGCCAGGAGAACGTGGATCATTGCTGAATGAAGCTCACATTGCACGGAAACAAAGTCAAACTTAAGTCTGTGTGCCAGTGAGCTAATAGGCACTTGTGAACCTAAGCACTTTCTAACCAGGTAATGGAGGAGAAGGACCGTTTCGGCCCAGACCACTTGCTCACATCTGTCACCCCGGGCCCCTGTAGGCTGAGGCAGGATGACCGCAACCTGAGCACAGACTGGGACAGTCATATGTGGACCTGTCTAAGGGTGAAAGAACAGATTTGGACAGAAGCTCTGTATTCGAGAAATGGAGGATTCTAGACGCCGTGGCGAAAATGAAGAAGGAAAGAAAGAAGGGGGAAAAGAAAGGAAGGCAGGATGGATGGAGGGCCAGAGGTAGGAAAGGGATGAGAGAAGAAAAGAAGCAGGGAAAGAAAGAAAACAAAATGAAGGAAAGAAGGGCCGAGGAAATACGGAAGCAGTCATCCTCCAATTTGTCCGTGAAGGAGCTCACTTCCGGGAGAGAGATCGTGAGTCTGATGTATGGGCGAGTCTGACAAAGGGAGCCTGAAGCACTCTGCTACCGACAGACAACGGAAAGCACTCAGAAAACAGGTGCAGGGTCCGTTCCTATCAGCGAGAGTGGGCGGCATGAATGTGCCCGGGCCAAGCCGGGCACTTACTTCACCCCCACCAGGGAACAAACGCCTTTCCCAGGATCGGGGCTCCCCCCACAGTTCCTCCCCAGAACCCCGGCCCGGGGAGCAGTCTGGGGCCTCAGCTCCTCGGCCGCGGAGCCTTCCTCAAAGGAACTCTGCTTTCTCACTATGTGTTTGAAATCGGGGTGTGAACTCCAGGACCGGCCACCCCTTAGCTGCGTCCCCGCCCTAAGAGGTTTTTGGTCCTTCTGGCTGTGTTTTGCAGGAATAGAGCCCGACTCCAGAAGCCTTGCATGGACCTACAGCCCCAGCCCCCTCCCCCCGACTCTGCTTTTTTTATTTGGAGAACAGACCTTGCTAAGTGAACGAGTCACCCAAGTCGGGTCGGAACTCAAAAGTACGTCATCCTCCTGGATTTCTGGAATTAGAGGCACAGGCCACCAGGCCTGGCTAAAGAAACTGTTCTTCAAAGCAAAATGAAGAGTGGGGTGTGGTGGCACACGCCTGTAATCCCAGCACTAGGGAGGCTGAGGCAGGAGACTTGCTGTCAGTTGGAAGCCGACGCAGAATACCTGAGAGGGCCGGGCGTGGTGGCGCACCCCAGTAATCCCAGCACTCGGGAGGGTTGAGGCAGGAGGATCACTGAGTTGGAGACCAGCATGGGCCACGTGGTGAGTTCCGGGTCAGTCTCCACTACCTAGTGAGACCCCGCTTAAAAAAAAAAAAACAAAAAACAAAAAAAACAATACATAATGAGCCTCTGTATGAAAATCGGGGAGTGCACTAAGATCCTTTATCGCAGTGAATCTTTCTGTTCCGTCTTTTTGCCACCGGGGATGGAACTCAGGCTCTTGCACTTGGGAGGCAGGCGCTGGCACCACCGAGCTACATCCGGGGCCCAGAGGGGTCATTCACGAACACATACATTCGGTTCCTGTTTCGCACTCTGGCCCCTCGCCGCTCCATATTAATAAAACTGGACCCGTGTTTGAGAAGTGAATGAGGGACTGAATCCTTGACTTTCGCTTTCTAATTTGGGGAGTGGCCGAGGCGGGGGTCTCACTCTGTAGTGCGGGCTGGACTCGAGCTCACTCCGTGCCCCGGCTGGCTTCCATGTATTTCCTGGCTGTCCTCCTGCCTCAGCCTCTGAGGTGCTGGGATTACGGGCGTGTCTCTGTCTCCCCGCACCCGGCCCCACTCTCCTTAATTCTCCTCTGGCCCCGTCTAGAGCTGTGCGACGATCAATCAAGGTGGACGTGGGGTGAACTGGGTGGAGAGGGAGGAGCACGATCAGAGATGCGGGTGTGAGAGGAAGGGAGGAGCTGGGCGGGTGAGGTGTAGCCGACGGGGCGGATAAAAGGAGGGCGGCTGAGGAGCTGCTCAGCTCTGGAGCTCGCAGTCACCGCCTGGCCCCACCTGGAGTCCCGCAGCCTGGGCACCCACCCGCGACCGCGACCGCACCCGCAGCCGGTGAGTCACTGGCCCTCCTCACGGCCCTCGGCCCGAGTCCTGTGAGGACGGAGGGCCCAGGTGGCACGGGAGGATGCTGTGTTTTCTGTCTCTTCAGGTGGGTGGGTTTGGAATTTGGCAGTCGTTGCTTTTCGGAACCCAGGTCTTCCTGTGTGTCCCGGCTGGATTTGAATTCAGAGTTCAGTACGTAGCCCAAGCTGTCCCCGAACTCCGGATTGTCCTGCCTCTGCCTCCTTACCCCTGGGACCACAGAGGCATCGGCTAAGTCAGAGTTAGGTTTTGGTGGAAATGTGTAACTTCGCCTTCATGCTTTCGGTATCGTTTTGTGCGATGCTTTACGTCGGTTCATGAAAATGTTTTTGGCACAGCGCCTCACTCAAGAGTTCCAGTGCAGACTGGCCTTGACCTGCTCTGCACTCCAGGATGGCTTGGAATTGCATTGCTCCTCCTGCCTCAGCCTCCCGAGTGCCGGGATGACAGGCGTGGTGAGCAGCCACATCCACTTGGTCATTTTGTCACTTTTTAAGAAGCTGACGTTTTTCTTGGGCTGCTGATCCTGCCCAGAAGAGAATGGCCCTGAGTCCGATCCCCTCGTACCAAATAGATACATAAACTCATAAACGAGAAAGGGAACGCTTCTAGTAGTCTTCCTTTCTTTCTTGAAGTTGGTTAATTTTCTTGGTACTTCCGAGGTAGGTGTACAGCGTAGTGACATTTATCATTGGAAATTTGCACCTTTCCGTAATCCATCTCGGTTTTCCTGTTTGCCCCAGGCCCCTGCCCTCCCTCCAGCCCCTCCACCCCTCCCAATCTGCAACGACATTGTTTCCTCTTTTTTTCTTCTCTTCATGGTGACCCCATGGTATTCTTTCTTTTTCCGGAACCCTTCAGTTTCCCCTTCCACTTTACAGTTCTCTTTATTTTTATTCTTCTATTTTTTGGGTACCGGGGTTCGAACTTGGGCCTCGCAGAACCACCGAGCCAAACCCCGGCCCTTCTAGTTCTTTCTAAAGGCCAGTCGTGTCTTCAAACGTCAGCGGGCTCCCTGCTGTAAGTCCCTCCTGGTGCTGAAGCAGGGGGACGGGAGGACCCAGTCCGGCCTGGGTGAGAATGGACCCAATGGCTCAACTGTTGTTTCTAAGGGTTGCGCGGGGCCTTCCCCCTGTGCTCCATCCTCCACCCTTGTGCTTTCGTTTGTGTTCGGAGACAGGGTCTCGCTAAGGCATCCCGGCTGGGCTGCAGCTCGGAGCTCTCCTGACTCAGCCTGACAAAACGCGGGGGTGACAGGAGTGGATCTACACGACTAACCTGATTTCAGGGAGTGTTCATTTCTTTTCGGGTTTTTTTTGTTTTGTTTTGTTTTGGACAGAGATTGTTGCTATGTGCGTCGGGCTGGCTGCGCATACGCTAGGCGGCCCTGGCCTAGCACTCGCAGTCCAGCTTTCCCAGTCCTGGCACTGCAGGCTGCCCCACCACCGGAGACGCCTTTACAGCATTTTAACCGTAGCCCTCGAGATGGAGATGTTGCTCCGTGGTAGGTAGAGCTCTGGACGAGAATGCCCGGGCTCAAGGTTCGACCTATCAGAGCAAACTGAAGAGAATGAGGTTTTATTTTCTTTCAGAACTGAGGACTGAAGTCAGGGGTGTGATATCATGGACCTTAAAGGCCCAGGCGCCACGTTTTTTTTGCTGCTTGTGTGTTCAGACAGGGTCTCCCACCTCAGCCAGGCTGACTGAGCTCTTCATTCCTCCCTCGTCCAGCTAGGAGTTCCTTTCTCCGCTCTCCCCCCTCTCCCACCCTGCTCCACTTTTCTTTGCGTCTTTCCTTCCTTCCTTCCTTCCGTCCTTCCGTCCTTCCCTTCCTTCCTTCACAACTTCGCTCCCACCTTCCTTCTCTCCTCCCTGCGTTCCAGCGCTGCAGGAAATCAACAGCACCTTTAAGACAAGATTTCGCTAGGTCACTAAATTGACCCATTTGGGCTTGAAAAAATTTTAGGGCTCACAGGCCTCAGACTCTCCGAGTACTGGGATCACAGGAACGTGCGTGAAAGTCTTTACTCACACTTTTGACATTCGATTAGTATCTCCTAAATGATAGTTCCGTGGAGGTTCATTCGTGATTTTAACGAGGGCCCTCGATTCTCATGGGCTCGCCCCTGACTTCGGTCAACCTCTACGCAAAAAGTAAAAGAAAAACTGGGCAAGGCCGCTCTCAAGCATGATTCCACCACTCCCAGGGCTGGGTCAGTAGGATGGCTGAGTCTGAGGCCAGCCTGAAATACAGATGGAGACCCTGTTGCCAAAAAAAATATATCCAGAATAAAAATAATAACAAGGGGAACTTTAAATCATTCTGTATAGTCGGGAACGTGTGTGTATTCAGGCCTGAATTATCACCTGCTCTGGAGGCTGAGGCAGGACACCTGTGAATTGAAAAGCACTTGGACAGCTCAGATGCTTTCTCAAACGAAACATTGCCCAAAACAGTGCTGAAACCATCCCTTGAGCAAAAGCCATATTCAAGCCAACCAATTACAAAAGACTATGTAGTGTTCTGCACCAGTATTTCACTTTTTTGTTTCTCTTGTCCGCGTGGGGTCATTGTCTGTTGCTTTGGGTTTTTTTTGTTTGTTTGTTTGTTTGTTTTGCTGTTGTTGCTTGCTTAAGGTGAGTTTTCATTAAGAGGTTCTACTCGGACTGACCCCCACTCTTTGGGCTGGGGAGCACTGGGATTACAGGCATTCACCACCACACCTGGCTATACTTGTCGAAGCTGTCTGCTGTGGAACACCTTGTCGCTGACCCTCCCTTCCACACACCTCGTCTTCCCTACGTTGCAATTCACTGGAAGGCATTCTTGCCAAGTCACTCTCGGTTGTACAGGCTAGGCTTGACCTTGGAATTCTCTCTCGCCCCTGCCTCCCGGGGTGCTGGGACTGTAGACCGTTCTGCCAAGTACAAGGTCCTGAGGGCCGTGGTGCGTTTTTAGAGGGGAGATGTTGTTTGATCTGTTCTCTGCCCTCACTCCATCATCACAAAGTGGTAAGGTGTCTGAGTGCGGCAAAGAGTTGTGAGGATCTACGTACGCCAGAGTTGGCGTTCTCCATCTCCGACTTCCACGTGCTTGGTACCAATTTCACGTGGCTTTTTATACTGGCTGAGGAAACTTGCCCAAACGAAAATGACACAAAGTCCACTTTGCGGAGTCACCCTGCTACCTCCTGAGTGGCCTCCTCTGTAGAACAGAGACGGTAGGTAAGGCAGGGTTGGACCTTGAGACATTTCCTCTGCCGAGGTCCAGAGGCCTCGGAGCCAAGATGAGAAACCTCCCTCACAAGAAGGCCGAGACGTCACGGCAGTCAGAGGCCACTTCCCACAGGGACTGGAGCTCAGAGGACGAGGGGCTTGAAGTGCATGGGGTAGTGGTGCCCTGGTGCCCACAGGGGCAGAGGTGCGCTTTGGGGCCACCTGAGTCAAAAGTGGTGGTACATTGCAAAGGATCCCCTCCACGGCTGGATGAGGAACTTGGCCCCGAGTTGGCCTCCCTAGGTCGGAGGTGGGCTCTGGAGCTTGGCCTGAATTGGACGGCCCTTCCTGGACATGACCCCAAATCCTCCTCTTCTTGCAGGTTTCTCGGGAGGGATGAGTACGCAGAGCCCACCGACTCTGTATGAGCTGGCCAAGCAGAGCCTGCTGAGCGGTGAGACCGCAGCCAGCGCCGCTGTGTACGACCTGCCCACCCAGCTCTTCCATGAGCTCTTCGTGGAGGCCTTTCTGGAAGACCGCAACGAGGCCCTGAAGGCGATGGTGCAGGCCTGGCCTTTCCCCTGCCTCCCTTTGAGGACCCTGATGGATCTGAGGATATCAAAGACCCCTCTGTGGGTGTTGGAGCAAGGAAGAGTAGAAGAGAGAAACCTAGAGACCCTTGAAGCCCTGCTGGATGGCCTGGACAGGCAGCTGTCCCAGAAGGTTCACCCCAGGTGAGGGAGAAGACCGCAACGGCCCTGAAGGCGATGGTGCAGGCCTGGCCTTTCCCCTGCCTCCCTTTGAGGACCCTGATGGATCTGAGGATACCAAAGACCCCTCTGTGGGTGTTCGAGCAAAGAAGACTAGAAGAGAGAAACCTAGAGAGATTTGAAGCCCTGCTGGATGGCCTGGACAGGCAGCTGTCCCAGAAGGTTCACCCCAGGTGAGGGAGATCCACGGACCCTGGAAGGAGGGTCCCGGGAGTCCCGAGCAGGGAGAGTCAGTGTTCGGGACACGGGGGGCTCGGGAGGGAGCGGCTTCTGGCGTGGAGGAGGTGCTGGCCTTCACCGAACCGAGCACCACCCGCCCAGGGGTTTCCTCATGAAACTGCTGCACGTGGGGGATGCGGTGAGCATGTGTGAAATCTGCCCCTGCCCCTTCTCAGAAGAGCCAGAGGTCGAAGCACACCACGTGGGAGGGGTGGAGGGTGGCAAAGGAAGGCAGGAAGGGCAGGGCGTCCGCGATGTCCAGAGAGGGAAAGAAGAGAAGCTCAGGTAGGAGGCTGGGTCTTTTGGTCTCAGTGCTGAAACCGATTCCTGTGTCGCCCACAGCAGGCGGAGACTGCGGGTGCTGGATTGGAGGGACGTACACCGGGACTTCTGGACCTCACGGCCCGGGACCGTGAGAGTTGCCCACTCGGGGGATGCCAGCAGCGAGGAAACGGGCGAGCGGGGGCCGAGGAAGAAGAAGCCGAGCCTGACGGTACTCGCGCAGCTCCATTTTGAATCCTGTAGTACCTATGCCAACCACGATGCGTTGCAGGTGTGTCTCTTGAAGTGGGTCCGGAAGAGAAGAGCCGCGGTACACCTGCTCTCTGAGAAGGTGACGATCACTTCCTGTGCTGTCTTTCACGTGGTGAAGCTGCTGCGTGCTGTGCAGCTGGACTCTATCCGGGAGGTGCATGTGCTCAGCGACTGGACTCGCGAAAGCATGCGAGCCTTCGTTCCTCAGCTCAAGAAGATGAAGAACCTTCACACATTTCGCTTCGGCAGCATGGACCCAGACAAATATTATTCACCCTCGAAAAACAAATGGCATTCCCGCATCTATGCTTATCACTTAGGCCAGATGCAAAGTCTCCGGGAGCTTCACATAGATAAGGTCTTCTTCTTGGAAGGAAAACTGCACAAGATCTTCAGGTGAGTGGGTGGCGAGCTCGGCTGCACATTCGAGGTGCGGGTAGGGTAGAGAGGAAGAGGGCGTCTGTGTGCCCCGCGGCTGGTAGCCTGGGAGGTAGCGGGAAGTGGCTGCACAGCACCGTCTGGACCCGCAGTGAGGTCTGCCGCGTCCCATAGGGACCCGTGAAGGCAGGGACCAACGTGGAACAGGAGATCCGCACCCGGCCCCACTCTCAGAAAGGCAGCGGGGTGGGAGCCGGCGGCGGGAGGAGGGCAGCCGCGATTTCTTTGTCTTGAAGGAGCGTGTCTAGGTTACGGTGCTGCTGGAAGAGGTAGGAGAGAGCAGTTAACTAAGGGTGCACAGAGGACGGCACTCAGCAGCTCCGGTGGGGCGCGGTCCCGTTTCTCTCTGCCCACCTTTCAGAAAGGCGGCCGGGTGCTCCTCCGAAGCTGGCGGCGCCAAAATAGGATGCCCGAACCCTGCAAGGTAAAAAGGAGCCAAGTTTGATTTGAGGTCACAGCTCAGAGATTCGGGTCCGTGGTTGGCCGGCTTCGGAACACCGCAGGGGCAGCAAGGACAGTTCCACTGCAGGATAGGCAGAAAGCAGCAAGCCGGCCTCCCTCCTTTCCCTTCAGCTTCCTCGCGGGCTACGGTTAGTTCCGTTGCTTGTTACCATCCGCACCCAGCAGAGGGGAAAGAGCCGAGTGTTTCCGTCCCGATCGATTGCATGGCCTTCGGCCACGCTAAACCAACCCTCGGACCAGCCCGGATGCCACACCGCGATCTAGCCGTTTTCCCAAAGGCCCGCCGCTGAGTGCGTTAGCTTTGGGGGGGCAGCCCATTCCTAAACCATAGCGATGCCCCTGGGAGGTGCGGGAGTCTGGGCCTCGCGGGGGAGCAACACACACTTTGCCGAGGACACGGACCCAGCTGCATCAAGAGTGGCCGGTCTTGCCTGGCTTCATCCTTCCTGCATGTCACCCCCTGGCCTCACCTGGACAGAGCTGTGGTTTTCTGCTTGGGGATGAGCACAGGGCACTGTGGGAAATGGGGACTGAGTCGGTGACACCAGTGATGGTACCTTGAACTGTTACTGACTTCCATTCACCGCATCTGCTCCCTCCCTCCCTCTCTCTCTCTCTCTCTCTCTCTCTAGGAACCAGAAACCCTTGGAGGCCCTCTCCTTGAGTGCGAGTCCACTGAAGGAATCTGACCTGAAGCACCTGATCCAATGTCCCACCACAAACCAGCTGAAGTCCCTGACTCTGAGGAAGTTCTCAATGGAATCATTCAACTTGGACACCCTCCGGGCTCTGCTAGACAAATTGTCCGGCACCCTGGAGACCCTGGTCCTAGAGCACTGTGGCTTCACAGACTCCCACATCCTTGCCATCTTGCCCGCCCTGCATCGCTGCTCACAGCTCAAGACCTTCAGTTGCTTTGGGAACCCCATTTCCCTGCGCACCGTTCGGGTCCTGCTGTGGGAGTCTGCCCGTCTCAGTCAGTTAACCCACGGGCTGTATCCTGCCCCGCTAGAGAGCTATGATTCCAAGATTTCGCACACAGTTGTGGACACTGATTCCTTTGTCATGGTCTGTGCTCGATTGGCACGGGTTCTGAAGAAACTAAGGCCATCTCTTAGGGTCCAGATCTGTACCTACTTCTGTAATTGCTGCATGAAGTGCCAACTGTATGGACTGGATCCCAGCGGGAAGTGGGAAGTCACAGAGGAGTATCGCTACCCAGGAGGTCAGCTTGGATGTTACGTTTGTGAGGTGTGCCGGCGTACTTATGATATGTTTTCCTGGTAGGCGTCCCCTCGGACGCTCACCGGTGGATCAGTCCGCTGAGCCTAGAGCTCAGTGTGGTGCTGGGAGGTGAAGCCAGGTCAGCGGAGGTGGGCCACTGGGAGCGTGGCCTAGAAGGCTCTGTCTGTCACCGTCCTCTGTTAGTCCGTCTCTGCCGTGCTCCTTTCCGAGCCAACCCGTGACGTGAACTGTAAGACAGAGCAAAACTTTCTCTCTGAAACTGTGGATGTCGCCTGCAGCGAGTCAGTGTACCACGGGAGCAATGTGTTCATGGGCCTATGCGGGAGTTCGTCCCGTACTGCCGGTCCGGGGATGAGCCCGAGGGGACCCTTGGCGGCGAGTGCGGTCGAACAGGTCCCACAGTCTGAGCACTGTGGAAGCTGAGGCTGAGGGTGTCTCCTCACGTTCCCGGGCCAGCCTGGGCTCCGTAGTGAGCCTATCTCACAAAATAAATAAATGAATTGAATAAATCCTCACTGTGAAAACCTTTATTGAAACGCAGGAACTCATTGTTCCATCCTATTTATACTTTTTTCTTTCCACAAGTGTTGCCCAGGCATCACGCTGTCATTCGTCTCGGGTAAGTTAGCATTCTCTTCACCCTTTCTCTTTTCGGTATATGGGGTCTTCACACTGAGGTCGCACTCCAGCCCTCTTTCTTT